GTAGCCGCTCCAAAACGGTGTGCAGGTGTTCCACATGCTCGTCCAGACTCCGACTGTAAACCAGAATGTCATCGAGGTAGATAAGTACGAAACGATCCAGCATGTGTCGGAACTCCGTCGTCATAGCCGCTTGGAAAGTGGCTGGGGCATTCGTAAGGCCAAATGGCATGGCCAACCATTTGAAATGCCCATACCGTGTCTTGAACGCGGTCTTGTAGCGATCCTCCTTGCGAATCTCGAGTTGGTGGTACCCTGACTTGAGATCCAGCTTAGAGAAGAACTGCGCGCCGCCTAATCGCTCGAGAAGGTCGTCGATGCGTGGGAGAGGGCCATCGTTCCTGATCGTCTGCACGTTGAGCTTGCGATAATCGATGCACAACCGCAGATCCTTGTTCTTCTTCCGGACGAAGAGAACAGGAGCTCCGTATGGTGATGAGCTAGGCCGAATCCAGCCTTTCTCCAGAAGGTCGTCGAGTTGTGCCCGAAGCACACTTAACTCTTCCTCGCTCATTCGGTAGATGCAACCGCGCGGAGGTACGACCCCGTCCTCGAGGATGATCTCGTGGCGGATGGGTCGATCCGGTACTACTCCGTGCGGGCCTTCGAACACGTCACTGTAGGCGTCGAGAAGCTCGGTGATGCGTGGATCCGAAGGTGAGTCCGTCGATGAAGCGTCATGTGGCGAGAGGGCGTGGAGAAAACACACCCCCATCTCCTCTTTGTCGTCTCTGATGATGGAAGCTCGCATGCTTGCGGCGGATACCACGTGGCAGCTGATCGAAGGATGAGGAAGAGGCACCGTGCATGGAACTAATACTCCGTTCCGATCACGAACGTGAACGGTGCGGTTGAAGAAGTTCACCGGGTGATCCTCGCTTCGCAACCATGACATGCCCAAGATCATGTCGAATTTGGTGTCCAGAATGTCAAAGGACACCGCCTCACTTGCGTGAGGGGCAAAGTACACTGGGACGGCGTCAATGCACCGGTCGATGGACTTGTGCGTATGACCGTCTGCCAGAGTGACTTGCGTAGGCTGGGACTTCCTCCGGACTCGTGGGCCAAGGCCGGCGCGTACCATGATGTCCTGGTTGATGTAGTTGCGAGATGCTCCGCAATCGATCAAGGCACTGCAGGTCGCCTCTCCGATCTGAATGCGTATGTATAGCAATGGTGCGTTGATGTCGTCGTATCGTTGCGTCTTGAACTCGCGGTCGATCTTCGTGATGAAAGCGTGAAGGTCGACAACCTCTGCTCCGGCGTCCATCAACGGAGCTGGTACTGCAGTGTGCAAGTAGTCCCGCAATTGTGCCATAAGCACGTTGCAATGCGGTTTCAACAATCGTCCGGTCGAGGGAACGGGCATCCACTGGAAGTCCGTGAACGTCAACGGGTCGAGCTCATCAAGTCTTGACCATGACATCGAATCCCCGACGATAGATTGCGGCGAAGCTGCTGAATCAGTTGCTGATGGTGATGAAACCGTGCATGCGGTGGACTGTTGCACGTGGAGCGGTTGGTCCAGCGGTGGAACCAAGTGGAGAGCATAAGCCTCGTAAGTATACCGAGGACTTGCAACATTCGCATCCTCCCCAGATGTGCAGGAGGCCGCTAGCAAGGCGGCCGAATCTGGCGGAGTAGAAGGTGGAGTCGCCTCACCTTCCGCTGAGCTCTGAGGCAGGGTCGCACATCCTCCTTGCCCTGATCTTGGCACAGGGAGGTCTTGTGCTTGGTGTTGTTGCACCAATAGCAGCTGCCGTAGCGGCCGCGGACCTTGTACTCCGCCTCGGTCAAGCCAAACTTGACCCATGGAAACTGTCCTGGTTGTCCATTTCCGGCCCGTGATGCGGATTTCGCCTTCCCATTGTTGAGGGACTTGTTGGTGCTTTGCGGCTGGACAGCAGCCACCTGATCTCCGTCACTTGATGCTGGAGTGGCTGTTGGGTTATCTCCACTGTCCGACTGGACTGCAGCGAACTGCTGCTGTCGCGGACCAGTTCGTACCTTCTCCACATAGGTTGGCTGCCACGTGGACTTCTCGTGTTTTGGCCTGTTAGTCTTGATGAGCTCTCTCGCTTTGTTGATTATCTCCGCGAAAGTGTTGTACTGCTCGCGATCACCAAGTGCGAGGCTGAGAGTGGTGCATGACCTGTTGTAGAACTCACGCCGCAGATGCGGAAATGACAAGTCCAAATCGGGCGTTGCCACGACTTTCTGCCAATCCGTGAGCCAGTTACGTGTAGGTGTGCTCCCTTGAGCCATCGTGAAGATGCGGTTGACGGCAAGTGTCGGGGCGTCGTCGACGATGAACCGCTTCTTCCATTCCTTTGTCATGTCTTCCCAGGAGACCTTCTTGTACAGGTCTGAAACCTGGACGCCTTGGATGGTTGCCATGTGGCTGAGCCAGATCTGACAACCTCCCTTGGTGTTGATGAACAGAGCACTGATGAACAGATGGTCAGGGACTTCGTGAATCCCCAACTCCGTTGTAAATCCTTGACAGATGGTCAGGGACTTCGTGAATCCCCAACTCCGTTGTAAATCCTTGCCACCAGACGACCGGGTCTTGATGTGTGTAGCATCAAATTTCGCGATCCGGAACGTCGGCATCTTGTATGGCCTCGCCGAGCTGTTGTTGTGGCTGTGGTCAGTCTGCTGTTGCTGACTGATCTTAGTGTCCAGCAACTCGAACCGCTGGCTGATGGTGGCCGGCTCTGTGAAGACACTTATGTCTCCTAGCATTGCCACTACGTGGTCAACGTATTCCTCCAGTTGGCGGCTAGAGGATGCACTGCTGGAAGCTCCAGCATCTGGTCCTGGTACAGCCTGTTCCAGGTCCAGTACACGGGCGTCCAGTGCCCGTGTGGCATCCTCGTGCTGAGTCTTCTGATTCCGCACGGCCCGCTGTAGGTTTGCCAGCTCGGACTGTAGGTGGTTACATGTGTAAACCAACCTGCTCACGAGCTTGGCCATGAACTCCCTATGCTGCTCTTCCGGTGTTGGCTCGTCGCCGTTTGGTTCAAAATGCCAGTACTTGAGTTTCTCGATGCTGCTGGCTTCATGCCGCTGCAGCAGAGCCTGGGCTTCCTTGCGGCGAGCCTGGGCATCTGCGTCTGCTTCAGCCTGTAGCCGCAGCTTCTCTGCTGTTGCCGCTTCATCATCCTGTAGCTGGGCAGCCTTGACTGCCAGCTGGCGTTGTTCCTCAGCCTCGATTGCAGCGAGCTGAGCATGGACACGCTTTTCGTAGTCGGCAATGGGCTCATTGTCCAGTTGGGCTGGCAGGTCCGTCATGTTGCTGACGTGGCACTTTGTCTGACGTGGCACTATGTCTGACGTGGCACTGCTGATGTGGCACTGCTTACGTGGCACTGTCTGATGTGGCACTGCTGATGTGGCACTGCTTACGTGGCACTGTGTCTGAYGTCACTGCTGACGTGGCACTGAGTCTGATGTGGCACTGTGACCTGGCACTGCTGACGTGGCACTGCTGATCTGGCACTGTGACGTGGCACTGCTGATGTGGCACTGTGAC